CTTCATATTGTACTCCCAAACAAGGCGATACGAGCATTGGGCACGGTCGTCATTTGTGGGCGGGCAGGCATGGTGGGCGTACGGGTCGGTATGTTGTAGCTTGATAGGGCCCTTGTAGGACTCCACCCCTGGAAAAGGCTCTGCGCAGTGCCTTCTCAGGGACGCGGAATCCCGTCCTGCCATGCGTATTAATCCTACTCGTCTTTAGGGATTTATTCTGCCGACTGCCTTTAAATATGCCTAGCAAGACAGAATTTGGCGCCGTTGAGCATCGTTTTTTTGGGGGGTTTGGTTGTTTGTTGTTTGGTGCTGCGTTGCGCCTTCTTCAAAGAAAGTGATTTTATAGCGCCCTATCAATCTACAATATGCCGATCCGGACGCCCACCGCGTCCGCCCGCCCACAAATGGACGACCAACGCTGATGCTCGCTGTCGCTCCATCGCTTCATCTGCAAGTAGAATATGAGGCGAAGGGACTGATATGAAGCAACTGCAGTGCTGCCGCATGGATATGGTGCATACATGCAGCCGTATCTACCGTAGCGGTTATTGGGCGATGCCAACGGGAAACTCGTCCGAAATTGCTTTCTGAGTCGTGTAGAACAAGGCTTTTTTGCAGGTTTTTGACCGTTTCACTTCGCTTTTTCGCCATTTTGCCACTATATAGCACATTGCTATCATTTTAGACCGCTTACTAAATTATACATTGAGAAAAGTGTATTGCGAAAAGCTTAAAAACCCCACAAGCCTTTACCTGCCCCTGCTCCAATGTACTGTAGATGGAGCGGGAGCTACAAGCTAGTGGGCGAACTGCACTAAGTCATAGTAGCTTCAAGCTTAATAAATCAAATTGGTCATTGATTGGAAAACAAACTCACATCTCTTTTATCTCGATTTTTGATTCCTTGGCTGGCTAATTGTTGTTTTCGAAGCTCTTCTTGACCTTGAGCGATTTCCTTTGCAAACAACTTCAACACCTGAACATCTTATCTGAGTGTAGTACGACTTAGGAGTGCCATTCAACAAAGGCTCATCTCTGATTTGCGTTCCCTAACCCTTTGCGCTGCCTCTGCTGAGTACTGTTTCCGTCGAAGCTTCTGCTTTTTCGGTGCGTCCCCTTTACTGTGAGATTTTGCATTGTCGTAGACGTCCATCTGTAAGAATGAATGTAAGTCAGTGGTAGCATGTATAATCAAAACAAGGATACAAAGTTGGAAGTAGTTTTTAATGAAAAATAAAGTTACTATTCTCGGTAAGAAAGCTTCTTCCAGGTTGGAGTGCAAGACTTCTGAAATTTCTTGGGCCCCGTCCAACTCATGCTAGAGACTTTTATCGAGATGGGGTCCATTCCATTTTCAGAATGCGGTATGTATCCAGCTTCATACCAGGAAAAGATTAGTACTTTTCAAAATGAGATGCGCAAAACTACAACTGAACCAAACATTAAAGGTCGAGAAAGGTTAATGAAGAAAAGTAGTATCATCTGCAGTCCTACCAGCTCTAAAGTCGATGGAAGTTAAGCGCTTGCACTTAGACCCAAGCAGGAAAAGAACTATGCATCTCTTGATGGGACTGAAGGCACAATCCATCTTTGTCGAATGGGCGGAGCCGGGCTCGCAGCTTCCCTTCCCTCATTGGTGCGCCCTCCTCCCTAGTGCTTTAGAGAAGGTGGGCACCGACAAGGAAGATACAATGCTCCGCTCTGCTCATATGCTTGTCTCCGCCCACACGAAAAGCGTGGGATGTATGTTGAAAACTGTGACTTCTGCTTGTTGTTGATCTCAACATGCCTACCCCATGGCAAAATGAACCGGAAAGAATCATTGCGTTTCGGAAGGACTCACGCAAATATATTTGGGAGGTCACTACAGACCTAACGAAGTCCAGGTTAATACGTGGGCCCCTCAAATTATAGAAGTTATTCATGTGTTTCTGTGAGCTCAAATATCATACATCAAAAATCTGTAAAAAAACTAGATCAGAAAGCCCCTCGATTCCTAGTTTTGTTCTCTTGTTTCCAAAGATTCAGATCAGTAAAATAGCCAGAAGATATAATTTTGCTCGCGTGCGAAAATTTCTAACAAAATAAAATAGGATCTTCATCAAGGCTACGAATTTACGACCACGCGGTAATTTTTCAGAGTTTTTTATAAGTGCCAAGTTCTCAGGGTAGACTTAAATTTGTGACTCCAAGGGACTCAATCTCGGCGGTTGCAAATTGAGCAAGCTAGCCAGTGCTGATAAAAAGTTAGAAGTCAGAACAAGAACTGGTTCAGTCCAGCTTAAGGAGGTTATACTTTAAACTGCTCTTTAGATAGGTTATTTGCTCTGAATAAGTTTTTATGTATTCTGTAAAATATAGAAAATGGAAGAGAAGAAACAAGTCCATAAGGAAAAAGGAAGAGGGGCGTTTCCAAGTGATCCGACAACGCCCACGAATCCCCATTCCGACGCTTCTCTCTTATACGTACATGTATTTCTAGCGCTCCGATTGGGCTCTCGCCAGCTGTCGCTGGGCATACTTGGAAACGCCCCTTCTTGCCATCAGATATGAACATTAAATAAACTTGCACTTACCGTATCACGTATAGAGGGCACCATCCCAACGAGGCTCTTCTTGTATGGATTGAGATTACAGAAAGTGATCGCTGGGAACTCTACGTGATCAAATTTCAACTGAAAGAAAAAAATTTGAATTACCTGTTTCACCTAAATGACCAGAAGTAAATAACAACACTTACTGATATACTCGTGATTTTGTCGTGCTTTTTATATTTCACTATTAGTGTACCGGCTTGATATAAGAATAATGTAAGAAAGAATACAATGAGGCTCATCCAGAACATTCGGCTGAGACCATTATGAGCGATAAGGATACGTTTAGCCCCGTGTGCAGTGGTTTTATCAGCAAAATCCTTGAATTTATCCTTAACGGCCACATCATCACCCAAATCGCCAAAATCAGGTGGAGGTGTATGAGATTTTGAATAGACGAATGGATCATAGTTAGGTTGCTGTTGACGTTGACGTAATTCGTTGGACATTGTCCATTCGTAGACGACGTGATTCTTTCAGGATATCGATCGATACGTATCAGTTGTGCACCGAAACCTCAGTGCGATACTATCATGCGACGTTATCCTGCCTAAGAAGTGCACAGATGAGCGGAAAGCGTTAAGGCCAAAACTTGATAATTGGACGCGGAACGATCAGAAACTGTCAGACATGTCGGAACTAGGAAATGAACGATATTGGCTGAGAATGCCCGCCTCAAGCTCCGGAAATCGGAAGAAGAAGAAAGAAGAAGAACATGAAGGACGAGCGGACTACAGAGCGACATACAGATCCTTCCTTGTTTACTAAGATGCGATTTATTTATTTATTTAGAGATCGAAGAAGAAGTACTCACAGTCATTATCACCGAAGTTAGTCAGTACGTGTCAAAGGCGCGTGGGTTTTGGCGCGGAGCCATCCCTTTTCCCACCACCAATTTAACGCCCCAAGCTGCAGTGACCGATGGAAATAGAGGCTGGCGCCGCGCCAAAAGCCGCGCCACGTCGACCCGACTGATTTAAGTTATAATTGTATTTGATTATTCTTCTGAATACACCCGGTGTACCATAGACCTAGATAAATAAAATAAAAAAGGCAGCAAATGGCACAGTGGAAGTTTGAGGAGAAAAAGAACACAGGAAAAGAACAAAGCAATAAAAGCGAAGGAATAGGCTGTGAGTCGGAGCTCTGAAGAGCCGGGACACTCATTGTGGCAGCATGATGAGGTTATTCTTAGATGAAAGGATCCAGCCGTGAAGTTTGATCCAGAAAGTAAAAAGACAACAGTAGTACTGGCGCTTGCTGACAACTAATTCCGCCCCGGATCCCAGGCGAGAAAACCAAGGGGGAACGCGAGCGATAGGGTTCACCATTCGAGTTCCTCAAACGACTGGTCCTCACAGCTCGATCCCATGGTTTGATGTCTGTGTAACAATCGTCCTAGGTCGAGTAGTTACTAAACA